CTTACAGATATTATACATTAAAACTCATAAGACTAATTTAATATAATATAACAATAAGTCATAAGATCTCAAGAAATTAAAAAAAAGAAACACATTTACTAAACAAAGCCGTACTAATATTAGATATACCAATGTTGGATAAAAACAGGTTAGTGATACCTAAACTATAGGCATTAACTAAGTAAAAAATAAAAAACGGATAGTCAAGACTTATTATATGTTCATGGTCAATACTATGCTCAGTAGATACTCAATGAAAGTTTAAAACCATACCAGAACTGTTGAATAAATCCACATTGTTCGATCCGTTCGACAGATTGGACTTGTCAGCGAGTCTGTATTTAGCACTATCCTGAGAACCATTCATTGTGTTTGATTGCTATTTAAACTATAATACGAGCAAACACTGACGGATACTTTTGGCCGCGTATATAGAAATAAAATAATATGGACGTTACTACATCATTGCCGTCACATACCTAAAAGGCGCGACCCTCAAATAACCTGTTAAGCACTTATTAATGTGTAATGGTTCTAAACGAAAACCAACGCGAAAATGCACAAATTATAATATAATTTCTTCAATAACGACAAGTGACAACAGTTGCGATAAAAACGCGATCACCCTACGACTATAATTGAGTGATTATTATAATTGATATGCAAAGCGAGACTCCAATGTTTTTCGTCAGTCATCAGTCAGTTTCTTATTACGTTTTAATTAGAGATAATTATAATAATGTTATGGGACACACATTAGCAGATTAGCGAGAAAGAGAATAGGTAGTAATTAACAATAAACGCAACGAGCAAAAATAAATATCGATTATCGACCCGTAGTAAAAAATATAATAATTATTATAGAAATTAGAAATGCGCGAGATAACATGTTATCAAAATGAAAAACAAATCACGACGTTACTGAGATCGGCGGCGCGGACTATATTTTTATAAGCAACATTACAATTTATTCAAATCACCTATTAATAATAATTATTTGATATGATATGTCGACGAGCAAGACTTGCGACAGAGATATTATTTATTATAATAAAATGTTTGTATTGTGAACATATATAATATTATTATTAATTATGATATTACACCGTCGGTTTGCGCTTCAATAACCTTGATAATTTGCTAAATTATGTGTGAATGTGTGATTGATCTTGGAACTTAGATATAATGAAATATTCTATTAAAAAAGTCATGTATAACGCTATGATCTATACAGCGTTTAACATATTATAAGAATATGGTACTAAGCATTTAAAATTAAAGCATTACATTTCTTTTTCTTTTTTTTTTTTTACAAATTAAAATAATAATTACTTATAAATTACAATTTATTAATTTTATCTAAATTTGCAGTAATTACCTACACATTTATTCACTATATTATTATCGGTAATAACATTATTGCAGTTTCGAATTCGTTAAGCACCCATTCTATAATGTTACGTAAATATTTACTTTAAAATTAAAAAAAAAACTCTAGAAAATGTACAGCATAACTACTATAAATTTTCCTTTATTCCATACAAATTCCTAGTTGAAAATCGTTAAATATATATTTTTATGTAATTAGATGTACTTACCTTAATTACATTATAGTTTAATATATGTACTTAAAATTTAATGAAACTATCGATAGTTTTTCAAGACAAAAAAATATTAAAATCATTTAAAAAATCTATTAAACAATATTACAAAACAGCATAAGTAAAATATATAATTCTACAAAAACTGTATGAGTATTTCTAAGACAACAAATAAGTTTTTGCAAAATTTGGAAATCAGTTAGGTACGTAATAGTTAGACTAAGTTCTTTTAATGAAAATAAAACGATATTGAAAAATATCTTCTATTAAAGATACGACATACTGAATCAAATCTTCCGTGTAAAATCAAAATTAAGGGTCAATATAGTGGAAGTAGATTGTACTGAACTTAAACAAATTTAAAAATAAAAATAAATAATATCATATTTTGTTAACACATATATTATAATCAAGGGACTAAGCTGAAAATATTTTTTATTACGCCTGTACTGAAAGTTAAATTTCAATCTCAGTTGAAGTGTTTGAAAATAACCTTTTTACGTCTTGCGAATAATAAATGATTTTTTTTCTACCTAACATGGTATTAAGAAAATTTCATTACGTAATAAGTGGAAAAGTTAAAAGACTAAATAAAATTAGTGTATTGATACGTTTCATCTATTACTTACCAATATCGAATATTGTACTGAAGATAGATTTCTAAATATGTTATTCTGTGTTATTCTATATTATGTAAAATTCGGTGAATCTAAATATTGATAATCACAAGAACGTCAAGAACCGTTCATCATAGATTATTATAATTGCGTTTTCAGAGGTATTAGAGGCATGACAAATAATATTATGTGTGATTAATGCTGGCTAGAACTTTAACTTTTTAGTTAATAACGAGTAAAAAATATCAATAGAACAACTAACAAGTTTATTTAAGTTTTGATCTTGATCTTGCTGCAGGACTTTTTTATGAACAAAATATATAAACAATCAAATTTTTGTTCTTGATCTCTAAGATAATATAACTTTACAAATCAAACATTTAAAATATATTTATAATTCGTCGGTTTAGTCATAAGCAAGTTCAATAATTTTTTTAAATTATTATGTGTAATGTGTATGATATATTTTAAAAATCTATTTACCATCTTCATCGAATTGGGAAGTTCCTATATTAACCTTTTGTGATTTTAAATAAATATTGGTAACCATTAGACCATTTTAATTTAAATAAATCTCAGTTTAACAACAACAGTTTCATAAAATGTAAATAGGTAGGTAGACGTTGAAGAATGTAAGGCACACTATAATATATTATAGGTACGACGTAATAAAGGTCACTCGAACGTCACAAAAAATTAAAACGTTTAATTAAATTATATCTACTGTTATGACTTCCTGTTCTTATAATATAATATTCAAAGTAACAATTTATTTATGGACATAAATAATCATATAAGCAAATTCAAGAAATTTGACCTAGTTAATAATTTTTCATCAATGTATTAGAAAAAAAAAACAATTAATAAAAATTATAAATAATAATATAAAAAAATTAAGTACTTATTATTGGTTTTTCGAAAGAATTTTTTTTTTATATATATCTATATGTTTAAAAGCTATTAAAGAACCTTGTATTAAATTTTAGGTATGAAAAAAATTTTCAAGAATTTCTCACTGAAAAATTATTTATTTATTATTACTTTCGCGATTTTAATGAATTTTATCAACATTTTAACTTTAAACATTTATAAAAAAATATTGAGACTATAGATTTTTTTTTTGTAATTAGAAAATTAATAACTTTGTATACATTTTCAAACATTTCTATCAATCAAATAATTTTTATTAAAAATTTTCTTTTTTTTTAAATCTAAAAAATATTGAAACCTTTTGATCTCTAAAAATAGTTTAAAAATATATCGTAAATAAGAAATGATAATATAAGTATTTGGTGAAAATTTTAAGTAACTACGATTATTTGCTTTTGAGGTCCATAAAAAAATAAATAAAATTAATTTTATCAAAAATCAAAAATTGTGTAAAAATTTCCAATTTTTTTATTTTATTGTTTTTTTTCTCTCGGTTATAAAAATAGGTATTTTTAAACTTTTAATTTTTAAAAAAACTTTTCATGATAAAATTACTACATTTATTGATCCACTGAGAACAAAATAATTTACAGTTTCAAATTTTGACGAAATTCTAACTTGTCTCATAAAAAAATTGTATCTATTCCTTGTTTTTTTCAAACATTTATTTAATTTGTATATAAAAATTTTACGATGAACTTTATGTTAAATTGTCATAGTTTTTGACATAGTAAAATTTTTTTTTTAGTTTGATCATCCTATATAAAATTATCATAATATCAATGTTCTAGGAAAAATTTAAGGTAGTTATCTATGGTTATTCGTTTTTAAGATATAAATGATATAACTAACAAAAAAATCAATTTTATTTAATCTATTGTTATGCGTAAATATTTCTGTTTTTCTTAATTTTTGTTAGTACATCCCAAGTTTTTTTTCAAGAATATTGAGAATTTTTAACTTTTGATTCTTAAAGGTATATACCGGGGGCGGCCAAACAGTCGATCGCAAACGATTTTAAAGTCCATCGTGCTAGAATTTATTTTTAGGCTGCGCTTACGAAAATTAATTATGGTGGTATAGTAACTTAATAATAATAAAAACTTTTTTTATCGAAGTCGATCCTCAAAGGTGAAGTATATTTTTAGTAGATCGCGGCTGAAAAAAGTTTGACCGTCCCTGGTATATAATAAATTATATTATTTGTTACCAGTAACTATCAACAAAGTTGAAAATCGAGGTATTTTTACTGCCCAAAAAGGTCACAGAGAAAAAAAACACATCTCTGTAAGATCAATACTCGATGAATGTAAATAATTTAGTATCATATGAATAAATTACCTATATAATTGTATGTTCCACTCGAATTTAATTTATAATCCAATAAATTCTGAACTTTACAATTATAAATATCAAGTATATCGTGATTAGTAGTAATAGTGGTAATAATTTTAAAATAACAAAACGTCCTGCAAACATTTAAACTAAAATAATCATAGTAAAAAGTTTATGTAAACAACACAGTTTCTTACTATATAGTAAGTATTCAAACTATGGTCTATAGAGGAGTAGAGTATTATTTTATGATTTATATTTTAGTTGACCGACTTTACAGTTCACCCAATCACGTCATTTTTGTACAAAATATGTTCATAAACAATTTATAGTTTAAACATTTATAATATTTCGTAGTTGATCAGTTATAACTTTATCAGTCGTCATTGTTTTGCTTATCAAGCGACAGCCACAGCCGTTTTCACGGTACAGCTAATTTATGCATCTGTTACCACGGTCGGACCAACTATATAGCAGGGCGGTCGTCGGGTCGCGGCGGCATAAAATCGTTATCGTTATCACGGGCAGCGCGTCTGCCGTCGATCACCGATCCCGATTCTCGACATCTCGTGAACATTGAACATTGTCGACTGCCGTTTGCTGCACATCACAATACACCATTTTGCGCATTCCCATTCACCATCCAACGTATGTGTTACTGTGTTTGATATTATATCCATTGGTTATTATCACTGTACACCCCGCCTTTTGAATTTTAGGACATTTCCTAAAAACTGCCATAACATCCGAAATCCTTACGCCCGATCAAATATTTGTAGTAGATTAAGTAGAATAAGTTAAAGGAATTGATTGTCACACGCGCTCCGCCGACGTCCAGGAGGAGTATACAAGCCGGTGTAAATTCGATCCGTGCCCAAAGAAACTAGCCTGTGTGGTGTCTGTGCCCGTCCCCTAACGGACCAACGACACTTACAATGGAGGCATTGATTCCTGTCATCAACCGTTTACAAGATGTGTTCAATACTGTCGGCTACGATGCCATACAACTTCCTCAAATTGTAGTTATTGGATCACAGGTATGTTCATTTTCCATCACAAAAATATTTCACCATTTTACTTACTAGTTACTTGTTAGATGCGATAATTGTATGGATTCGTATGACTCATAATTTATAATTATTATTTTTCCCCATCTCAACATATGTATTTGTTTTCTCTATCATAAGTCAAATTTTATTTGATATGATATAAATCTGTATAATAAAAAAATGTCATATGAATTTAATTGTGTTCTTTTCAATAACTAATCATTGCAATACTTCATTTAACTATCTTGATCCACAAAAAACAACTTTAATGTAATGTATAATATGTTTCCTATTAGAAAATTATCTGTACTTCATTCTTAATTCATGATTTAATAAAAGAGCCTATTTCTTCTATTAACATAGGTATATTATTAAATAAAAACATTAGATATTCAAATTATTCATATTATTTGAAAAAATTATTTCTATTCAAGTTAATTTAATTATTTTTGTTTAATGATAGGCTACTAATCAAGATGTATTTATTTAAACAGTTTGAAATTTTTCTATGACATACCTAAGACTTATCAATCTGTATTTGTTTGTTAATAAAATTAGATCCCACTAGTAAACGATGTTAATGTACTGTATTTGATAGTTAATTGAAATCTCTATTCAATAGAAAATAATAAGATAGTAGTGGTGTGTCCAGTAACAGATTTTAGATTCAATTGAATTAGTCAGCTTTCATAATGAAAATTGTCCATTTTAAGAACATAGATAGTTATTACACACTGTAATTATATTATTATATTATTATAAACTATTTGTATACCTAATACATTTTTTTATAATTTTAAGTGGAATGAATAAATAATACTATACTACTTAACGTTTTTTTAAATCAAAATTGACAATTCTAATAATAGTCTACTAATTGTACTAATTAATCCTTATTTTAAACATTCAATATTATTCATCAACACTTATTTATATCATTGACTGTTTATAATCATCAATCGCTGATAAAATGATTGTATATACTTTCCCAACAAACATGATTTAATTTTGTCTTACAAAAAGTATAGTTATAACTTATAAGTAATAATAATATACTGATTTATTCTCTGTAAAATGTAAGTGTACTTTAATAAACTAATATTATTTACTTTGTGGTTAGCCAATATAACTTTTAGTCTGTTACTTAATTGTTAGCTACTTGTTAATTTAAAAGAAAATGTATCTAACTGTTATACTCTTAGATAGAAAAAATAAAAATAATAATTTTGAAACATTAAATTAGTTTAATATATTGTTAATTTTTTACTTTTTAATGAGAATAAATCTAACAAAAAATATACTTAATTTTATTAATTTTGTGCTTTTATATGATTGTTTAATATTGTTGTTGTAGATATTTATATTTCAAATTTGAAATTATATATTATAATATACACTATAATAACATAAACAAATACCACTGTCTTGTATATAAATTCACAAAAATGATTTTACACGTAAAATTGTCCACGTAGTCATATTCCTAAACAATTAATAGATTATTTTTATTTATGTTTTTTAATATATCTATTACTAAATCTAATAATGATGATAATATGTAAATACATGCTTAAAAACAATGTAAATATGTATAAAGATTTGAAACTTTATTATTCTGTTCACATTAAGAAGAAATTCGGCAAGGACACAGTTTAACTACACAACAGGTATATAGACAGTAGATTTGATGAGAGTGACAGACGAGCATTGTCTGATCACCACAAGATTCCTTCTTAATATGAACAGAGTATTGACTTAACAAATTAAATTTAACTTGTATTTTGGTATAGTTTTGATTGCACTAAAAAAATATACTAAGCCATAAATATCAAAGTTCTAAATATTATACTTTCATTATAAAACTGTGCAATCAAAGTTTTAATGAAACAAAACTATAAACATATATCATTTTTTTTACAGAGTTCTGGTAAAAGCTCCGTAATAGAAAGTATTGTTGGTAGATCATTTTTACCCAGAGGTATTGGAATTGTTACTAGATGCCCTTTAATTCTTCAGCTTGTCAACTGCCCTTTGACTGATAAAGAACATAGAAGTTCTGAAAATGGTAAGAGTATTGATTTTCATACATTATTGATGATTATACTATTTATGAATTAATGTTCTTACTGTATAATAATGTAGGTACAGTTAATTTGGAAGAATGGGGTGAATTTCTGCATTGTAAAAATAAAATTTTCAAAGATTTTAATGAAATACGAGATGAAATTCAATCTGAGACCAATAAGGTTGCTGGCAGTAATAAAGGAATATGTCCTGAACCTATTAGCCTGAAAATATATTCCACACACGTGTTGAATTTATCGCTTGTGGATTTACCAGGGATAACTAAAGTAAATATTGATGATTTAATATTTAAAATTAAACATGTTCATAGTATTATTAACTTTTTTTAAACATTGTAGGTTCCTGTGGGCGACCAACCAGACGATATTGAATCTCAAGTGAAAAATTTAGTTCTCAAATATATTCAAAATCCTAACTCAATCATTTTAGCAGTAAGTACTGCTAACACAGATATGTCAACTAGTGAAAGTTTGAAGATGGCCAAAGAAGTAGATTCCGAAGGAAAGAGAACTTTAGCTGTAATTACTAAGCTTGATTTAATGGATGCAGGTAATACATATTTTTCTTTGATTAAATTTGCTATATTTTTTTATAACTTACTTTTTTTTTCAGGTACTGATGCAGTTGATATATTATGTGGTCGAGTGATTCCTGTTAAACTAGGAATAATTGGTGTTGTTAATCGATCACAACAAGATATAAATGACAAAAAGGTATGTATAGAGAACTGAATAATATAATAAAGCATTAGCATGTTATTTATTTAAAATGTATTTTTACAGTCAATTTCTGATGCTCTAAAAGATGAATCTACTTTCTTGCAAAGAAAATATCCTTCATTGGCAAACCGAAATGGAACTCCATACTTAACTAAGACACTAAACAGACTTTTAATGCATCACATTCGAGATTGTTTGCCAAACTTAAAAGTAATTATTAAGAATAGTCTACAACTTCATTAATGCCATTCTTTACTTATTAACCATTGGTTATCAATCATTAAGAGAAACTTACCAATAATTTATTTATTAGTTTATAATAAAAATGTATGAAGGCATAAATGTTTAGGTATTATTATACTTAATATGAAAATTTAATATATTATTATGAATTTAAATATTATAATCGTATGGTTGATTGAAGACAGACCAAGTGATCAATTGATATCATAATTAATTAATAATAGATACAAATTATGTCATTTTTAACTGAGAATTTTAGTGCCGTTTCTTTGAAAAATAAAATGTTTCAAAAATTGGATACTGTATAAAATAATTATTTGTATATTTAATTATATTTTTAAGAAGAGGTATTAACAAAAGATTTTTTTTAGTTTAATACATGTATTATAAATGATTTAATTTTTAAACTTTAAATACTAGTTAAATAAATACTGAATCACAATATATATTTCATGTTGTCATAAAATTAAAAACAAAATATCTGTTAAAATATTTAATTAATTTAACAATCATTAATATCTTGCATCTATGAAAGGGAGCTTATTTATGGGTTGTTGATGAATAGGAAAAACATTTATCCTTAGTATAGCTTTATTCATTGTAAAAACTATAATGCCCTTTGTGCTTAATAAATCAAATATTTAATTTTTATTAAAAAATAAATTAATTGTATGCTACATAGCAAAGAACGCAAAACCACACTCTTTTAATGATTTATGTAAATATATATAAAAAAAAAAACTGATCATTTGTAGAAATATTTTAGGTTTAACAAGAAAAAAAGATTATTAAATTAATTGAATCGCGAAGAAAAATACATTTCAACCAATATTTTTATTTAACACTGTCCCTGCTTTATGGCAATATAAATAATTTAATAATGTAAAGAAGTTTACTTGACCTATGAATGGTGTGGTTTTAGACAAGAGTGAATGTTATGGTTTCACAATTCCAATCACTTCTGTATTCATTTGGGGATGATGTAACAGATAAGAGCCAAACACTGTTACAAATCATTACAAAATTTGCTGCAGCATATTGTTCAACAATTGATGGTACTTCTAAGAATATCGAAACAACTGAACTGTAAGTACAATATTTTTTTTTTTTTTTTTTTTAAATAAATTACTAATCTATTTATTTTTAGATGCGGCGGTGCTCGAATATGTTATATATTTCATGAGACATTTGGCAAGGTTTTGGATTCTATTCATCCTCTGACAGGCTTATCAAAAATGGATGTATTGACTGCCATTCGGAACGCCACAGGCCCAAGACCAGCATTATTTGTTCCAGAAGTGTCTTTTGAGTTGTTAGTAAAAAGACAAATACGTCGGTTAGAAGAACCATCTTTGCGATGTGTAGAACTTGTACACGAAGAAATGCAGCGTATGATTCAACACTGTGGAATTGAGTCACAACAGGAAATGATCAGATTCCCTAAACTCCATGAAAGCATTGTTGATGTTGTTACACAGTTATTGCGTAGACGTTTACCTACAACAAATGCCATGGTATATCTAAGTCATAACAACAAATAATGGAATAATAATAATAATAATAATAATAATAAAATCTATGTTTATTATACTAATATTAAAAGGTTGAAAATTTGGTGGCTATTGAACTTGCGTATATAAATACTAAACATCCAGATTTTCATAGAGATGCAGAACTCGTATCACTGATGATGAAAAGCGCTGAAGAAGATGAATTTTCAAGACAACGCATGTTGAGAAAATATAATGTGAACAATTCTGTTGCTGGATGTGATAAAGACGTAAGTGTGCAAAGATAGTACTTAACTTTTTTTCCCAGTGTTGATAAATTACTGTACAAAAACAGTCTGTAGTAATATATATATTATATAAATCATATTGTGAAATTATAGTTAAGATTATAAATCCTGAAATATTATTGTAATGAATAATAGTTAATGAATGAAAAATAAACCAATGTTCATGGTTTAGACTATGCATAATAATTGTAAGATACAATTAATTGGAAATTAGTTGTATAATTTAAAGATACAATACCTTCAATGAGATTTCTATGATGGAATTTGTTTTAAAATATTCTTAAATGTCAAGCTAAAAAAAAAATGTATTATGTGTTTTTAAGAGAAATGCATTTGGCTGTTGTTTAGTATTTTAGTAATTAGGGTGTGAGAAAATAAATTAACATCTTAATCTAAAAATTTTATTCCTGTTTATACTAATTGATTATATTTAACCTGTGCACATTTCAAATATATTTTTGTGCATGCTATATCAATGTATATTATGGTCATTATTTACAAAATAAAATATATATCTACAAAATATTGTAGGACAAAATTAAAAATTTAAGTTATATTGATTTTTATTTATTAAAAATCCTATTCATTATATTTTAACAAAAATAAAAACAATAATATGTTTTTTAAACTAGTATATTAATTGATATTTAACTGTTTTTTTTTTTTTTGTATAATTACATTTAATAACTAGGTAATATAGTATGGCTTAAAGTAAAAAATAATTTACATGAACTTTATTTTAAAAACTTATTCTCTTTTATTATTCAGATCTATTGTGTTGAAATAAAAAATAACAAATTGATATCATATTATTTTAACATTGAAATATTGTTCCATATTTCATCATTTTGTAAAAGTTTATTTTGTTCATTTTTAAGTAATGATATATTTTAAATTTTATAGAGTATCGCCAGCACAGGATCATTGAAGAAAACGCCAAAACATCATCCAGCAGATATGAATGGTGAAATGAATTCTGTTGAATCGTCTCCAGCAACAACACCTGTACATCAAGTACAAAATGAAAGCATGCCTTCAAATGTACTCAATAGTTTTAGTAACATGGATTTACAGAGTCCATCCAACAGGAACCTATCTGAGAAAGAACTACGTGACTGTGACGTAATTGGTACATAGTATTAGTTTCCATTCAAAAACAACTATAATATTATTGACTTGTTAAATATTTATTTTGATTTATTTCTCTTTGTTGGTTTATAGAAAGATTGATCAAATCATATTTCTACATTGTGAGAAAATCCATTCAAGATAGTGTTCCAAAGGCTATAATGCACTTTTTAGTAAACTTTGTGAAGAACTACTTACAATCAGAACTAGTCACACATTTATACAAATCCGAACAAGTAGAAGAGTTACTGAATGAATCTGAACATATATCTAATCGCAGAAAAGAAGCCATTGATATGCTTAAGGTATTAAGTGTATAAGTTACAAGTCCACCATTACTTTTCTATACAAAAAATGGTTATGAACTTTTTTTCTCTTTTCAACAGGCCTTACAAAATGCTAACAACATCATTAGTGAGATTCGTGAAGTGCATGTCTGGTGAACATGTGAAGAAAATTTGATGTGTAGTATATAACTTTTAAATAAATCCTAAATCAGTACATTGTTACAAATCCGCCATTATTATTATTACTACTATTATTAATTGTAATGTACAGACCAAAATAACTTAGTACATACTATGGGGTACCTTTAGTGTTAATGCCAATCCCCACAATGTTTTAAAATGCATAAGTTATTACTTTGAACTTTGACCTTACACTTTTTATGTGCATGTAATTACAAAGGACCATTAAAAACTTATTAGGTATGAAATTATTTTTTGGTTCAAGTTTAGAAACTAGATATATTTTTAGTATTTTTGTTCATAGTTTCATCAGCTTTATTTTATTTATTAATGATTTCAACATGAACTGCATTTATAATATTATACATGGTTTTTATTCAACAAACGGTATAAAAAAATGTTTTAAGACTATTTAATTCGATAATTAAATTTCATCTATAATTCTGTATTAATAATTATGAAACAAAAAACCTATGTTTAAAAACATTTTTTCATATGTGGTATAATTATAATATTTGATTTCACACAATACCTAGTGTGATCTGTTAGTTAATCGATTGTATAATTTTTTTTTTAGATCATTCAAGTTTAACTATTTAATGTTTACATTAGATAAATGTTAGTGATTAAGAGAACTTAACGCACCTTTTTTATAATAGTTATATGATTTTCCTGTTATTCAAAAATAATTGATGTTTGCGATTATTATAATAAATGTGACAAACTGTCTGCTGTAGGAAGTCTATTTGTTACTTTGATCTAAATGTTTATGTTGGTTTTATTTTCTTATTTAACTATTAATTTTTATTTTTTACCTATGAATGATATTTATGTGATGTTTAAATCAAATTATTGAAAAGCTGAAAATTTGATGCTTAATATTTTTATAAAAAATACAAAAAATATTAAAGGTCATGGTAAAAATAAGGTTAAAATGGACATTTACCTTGGAAAAATTGTGAGTTATCGGTGATATATCCAGGTTATACTTATGTATTAATTATATTTTTTAGGTTTAAAGTTATAGTAGGTACAATAATGTGTCTTAAATATACTTGATTTAATAAATGTATACAATAAACATTTTACTTTGTTCATAGTGAAAATGTATACCATACACTATACACACTAATGCCACTGTATTTGTTTTTGTAAGCTAACAAACATAAAGGTAGAAAAATTCAATTATTTATTTATTACTAAAAAAAAATGATTTCTAAAAAAAATAACTTAAATAACGATTTTTCTAGAAATGTTGACTGAAATTAAATGTACAAAATTAAATTGTTTTCTATTTTCTAGAACTTAATGACCATGAATTTCTCTACCATCCGATACAGAACAATTAAACAATTCCACTGACTTATATGATATAGTTTAAAGTACTAATTGCACCTCTTATTAATAATAACATTGATGAAGTTTTTGAATTATTTTTAAATACATTAGCAATGGATAAAAAATATATAGAGCAAAAAAAAAAAAAAAATGTATAATAATTAATAATGTTTAATTTAAATGTTTTAATTGCTTGACTGTTAGAGAGCTGTAAAACTTCAATTGAATTCTTATGAAGCTTTTTATTTACCTGCGATTGACATTTGTAACTTGTAGTTGAATCACATAGTGTGTATAATGCCTTTGAAATTTTAAATATTGTGCTTCTGTTTTTAATATTTTTAAATTATTATAAAAACAATTCATGCGGAATCTTACATTATATTTTATCTCTTTTGACCAAGCCTGGGAAAAAACTATAAATTCAAAACATGTTTATTGTCTATAAATACTCATTAAATAGTTTAAAATTAAGTTGTATATTTTGTATACAGAACAAATAGCGGTGTATTGTTTCAAATTTCTACAAATAGTTTCTACAACCGAGATAATTATATTATGAGGGCAATCTATACTGTAGTATCAAAGTCAATGCATTCGATAAATTTCCTCATCACTGCACTGGTGTGGTGCATACAAATATTGCAAACCTATTGTCTCTTGTTTTAGGTTTAAACTTCAACAGAAAAAAAAAAAAATTATTGTTTATCAAAAAGTTTGTCAAAAACAATTAATAATTATGATTTGATTTTTACTAAAAAATTTGAATCAATGAATATTTTTACATTTTTTATACATTTACTTACTTAATTGAACATTTGAAAAATTACATCCTAATATATTTTACTGTATTTCTATTGATACGCTTAAAATAGAAACCAAAGATTTTATGCAAACTATCCTTCAATGTTTAGGCCATCAACATTTGTCAAATAAATGTATTCAATGAAGAATGTTCTATTAATAATATTATATTGACTTCCACAATAGGAATTTAATTTTTCTTTGACTTCTATTGAACTTCAAAGTTGAGTAAAATATATGATGTTTTATTATGATGATACCTACAATAGCAGACAAAATTCAAGGGTTTGTTTGTAAGCCCAAGACGAGGCTAAATCACCATGTCAATCCATTGGCCATCTAATTACTAGATAACTTTAAGGAAATCAGATATCTCAATCATCTGAAATAATACAACTTAGATTAAGATTAAGGGCATGAGCCACTTAATCGTAAGTGTGCACACTATATACATTTTTTTAAATGTATTTATAAAAACCTTAGGATCATTTAAATAATAAACACTTAAGATATTAAAAAAAAGTTGAGTGTATGACAAACCATTTTTTTAATCTTTATAATTTATATTTTAAAGTAAATAATAAATGTATGCATTCACTTTAATTTGCAATTTGTATTTTATATTTTATGTGTAGTAATGCTAAGTACATATTATTAATATAAATAGATAAAATTATTTATATTTTCAATTTTATAAGTGTATATTTATAATGTTCTTAAAGAAACACTTAGTATAATATTTTTTTCATTAGTACATTCGTTAGTTAAATACTTTTGAAAAAAAAATAGTGTTCTTAATTTATGAGCAGTTTTCAAAAGTAACTTTCAATTGCAAACAAATTTTTCTGGTGAAAATTCTTAAAAAGATTATCTATATAAGATCTACTATTATATTATTATCGCCTATCGTTAATAGATTGAATGATCAAGAAACTAAAAAATACAACTTTTTCCTATAAAAATTGTCTATTTAATCTAGTATGATATTGATAAAAACTGTAATGTATATTTCATAATTATTTTTACAGATAAATATTTTATTTGCATGAATAATTAGTAGGTAGTCATTAGTCAACTGATATATCATTAGCATTACTGTAGACGTTGACATGTTTCTTGTTATATAAATGCATATCTGAGAAAGGAAAGAACACTGTAAAAACTTGAGGGCTTTAGATTTTTTTACCATACCAACTATCTATGTGTATGAATTAAGCCTCCATAAACAACTAATAATATATAAAGGCGCAGATAGCATTATATTCTTTAGACACAATTCTCATTCATTTGGATTTGACTAGCCAGATTACATTTATCGTAAGATAATAAATTGTGTCGTTGTCAGTTGTAAAATAGTTTTTTAAGTAGAGTACTGAGAAGTTGTTGTGAATAGTGTCTGTTAAAATCAATTTTAAAATGCTTAAAATCAAATCACTAAAATATAGTTTGAGTTTTTTTCTTTTGTTTAAATAATCTATAGAACTTAAACAATAAAACCATATATTTTATTTTTATTTTAACATTTTTTATGGTAAATTAAACATTTTAAAACTGATGAAACGCCCAAAAGAGTAAAACTATTGAACAATTGATCGTTTGAGACTAACAAATTATAGAAACTTATACTTGTTTTACACTTTTATCTGCTATTACCCATGTAAAAGAATTTACCACTTCTGATTTATCAAAGATCTTTGTGTACTGGTAAAACAAACTATGGTAACGGTCTAATATATGACCTACACAATGAATTATGGCCCCATATATAACCTACGTCATAAATGTAAAATAAAAATAAATGTCCCCACATTGTAATCGATCACGGCTATACAGTATACTTCCTTTTACCTTGAAAAAGAAATTCGTCAATTTGGACAGTACAACCGTGGCCATCCATTTTTTCTATTTTGGAAAAACAATGTACTGGTTTATCTCTGCAAAGATTATACTAATCAATGATGGTGTTTTTGCTTCTATCAGTCCAACCTACACTTTGATTTACTGGAAATTAACCCACAACTTAACTAATTATAGTATTTTGCATAGTGATAGTTTATTATTATAATAGCCGTTAAAGATCTGTATATGTAAAAGTCATTATTTTTATAAATCGATTGATAAGTATGACTGAGGATACTGAAGTATTAATGATTGTAAGTATTAAAAAACAAAAATGAAATAGAATAAATTTCCCATGACGACAATAACGAATAACCGCGATAAAGAAACCTATAGAATTAAAATGTAGATCAACACAATAATATCGGTAGATCGAGTAATATATGTAGATCATATATTGGACCATAACTGTTTTCATAATTCTTGATAGAGTATACATTAGCTCTAATGTAGGAATTTAAATGAGCATTTTTTTCATTAAAAATTGATAATCAAAAGAAATTTCATGGAATTAAAAAAAAAAATACAACATATAGTTTAAAATATACATCCATTTATTTATTTTAATATAATTCAAGCTTTACTAAAAAAAATTCTATCAGTCTACTTCACATTAGAATTATATAAAACTAAGTACCAAAAAAAAAAAAAATACATATATTAATTGGCCGTTGAGCTTTGCTTGTACAATATTATCAAACATAAGAAACGACATTAAAAATTGTACTAACAAATTTATTGACTAGAAACTTAAAGTAGTTTAAAAAAGGGTATATTTTGTATAAACGTTTTGGTTACAAAAAAAAAAAAGGAAAAAATAAAGTAATCAATTACCTTATTTATATTATAATGTTGATAAAATAAAATAGGAGGACTAGAAAGAATAATTCGTATTACAAAATAGTTAAAATAAATAAGGGCTAATTATGATGTATCATTAGGTTTATTTAATCAGTATATATTTTAAAAGTAAAGTAAATATAATAAGAATTGTATTAAGTTTCAGTTAAACAATAAGAAAATTGATGCGGACAAGTAATTTGTTAGTACAAAAGTGCATATTTATAATAATCGTATACAAATAGTGGGTAAACATTAACCTTTAAAATGTAAAATAAAACTAATAAGAAGTTATAAAATAAAATCAAATATTAATTCAATTTTCTACATCATTGTATACAAAACGAGGGTTTGAATCTGGTTATTTTAATATGGTTGATTATGATAATTACCAAAACCCAACAAATAATAGTGAT